CAGATCAATGTCTAGAGTTCATGACCAAGCTAGGACAGAGAGAATCACAGAAGGTAAAATGAACAGTTTAGGTTACATAAAGTTAAAAAGATTTTGCATAAATAAAATTAATGTAGCTAAAATTTGAAGAAACTCAAAAAACATGTTTGCAGGAAACTTCTGTAACAAAGATCTCTTTCCTTTTTTATTAATTTATTTTAAAATTAAATACTAATACCTAAATACACAATGAGAAAAGAAAAAGAAACATTATAAACTTAAATGTAAAACAAATACAAAATAAGAAAACAAAAAAAAAGCATTCCTCTTGAATATTTATATGAATTTTCCTGTTCAGTTCAGGATTTTTTTGGCAACAGCGTCCTGAAAGTTTGGCAATTCATTGAAAATCCTTTTCTTTTTCAATTAGGATTATGCTTAATTTTGCTGGGTATGATATTTTCATTTACAATATCAATTCTTTTGCTCTTTGATATATAGTGTTCCAAGATCCGCAGTCTTTTAAAGCCACTGCTGCTAAATCTTGTGTGATTCTAATTGTGGCTCTGACATATTTGATTTTTTTTCTTGCTTCTCATAATATTTTCTTCTTGAGCTGAAAGTTTCAGAATTTGACCATGATATTCCTGTATGTTTTCCTCATAGGAGCTCTTTCAGGTGATGATCAACAGATTTTTTTCTATTTCTACTTTCCTCTCTTATTCTAATGCTTCAGCACAATTTTATTCAATTGTTTCTTGTATTATTGTATCAAGATTATTTTTCTTAATCACTGTTTCAGGTAGCCTGATTATTCTTACATTTTCTCTTCTTTATATGGTCTCTAGATCAATTATTTTTCTTGTGAGATATTTCACATTCTTTTCTATTTTTTTATTCTTTATACTTTGTTTCATTATTTCTTGGCCTCTTATGACTTTGCTTGCTTCTCTTTGCCCAATTTTGATTTTCAAGGAGTTGTTTTCTTCCTTAAGGTTCTGGATCTCCTTTTCTAATTGGTTGACTTTCTTTTCATAATCTTCTTGTTTTTCTGGGATTGTTCTTTTTTTTTTTTGTTAGTCTTTCCTCAATCTCTCTAATTGTATTTTTAAAGTCTTTTTAAGGTTCTTCTATGAATTCTTGGGCAGGTAAGCATTTGATATTATTCTTCAGGGTAGGGGAGTGTTTCTTTGCTTCAGCATCCACTTCTAAAGATGAACCCCAGTCTTCTCTATTCCCACAATAGCTTTCTATAATTGGGTACTTTCTCCTTTGCCTGCTTTTTTTTTTTTAATTTGCAGCAGCTTTTTTTTTCATCACCTGTAATCCTGGGGTATGAGTGATGGTGTCTCTGCTTTAGATTCTCCTTCAGTTCTGTGCTCTGACCTGGAACAAAAACCAAGACTTCCATCCTCCTGTAAGTGCCCACAACTATCGACATCCCTCCCTCACTGCTTCTGCATTCACTATGCATGTGCTGGTTCCTTCTCATCCAGGGCCATGTCACAACAGCACAGCTGGGCCTGGCATTCCTTAACAGCAGAGGTTCCCTTAAATCTTCCCCCACTTAGACATCCAGTTCCCTATACAGTCCAGAAGTGAAGATTCTTGTGACTGGGGCTGAGGATACTTCTCAACCCAGCTAGACCTAGATCTCACTGCTTGCTGTTACAGTGGAACTAGCCTGTAGGTATTACACTTCACAGGGCCAAAACATCAGTCCTTGAATCTTTCTTCATATCTTTTCTGGTTGACCCAGGTGGACCACTGTTCTACCCCAGCTCTCGTGCTTTTTTTTTTTTAATCAGTCTAAGTTCACCCTGAGGTGCTATTTTGTCTTGTTTGTGGGGGAAATCTGGAGAGCTTGGCATTTTCTGACCTACTTCCATCTTCCCAGAATCCTATCCAAAGGTCTCATTTCTAACACATGTAGGGAATTTAGGTAAATTTACATGAACTCAGTCATTTGCAAATTGATAAATGGTCATAGGATGTGAATAAGCAGTTTTCAGATGAATTAATCCATACTATAACTAGTCACATGGAAAATGCTCTAGTAATTATAATAATTTTATAATGTTATATATAGTAGTAATGTATTATATTAATAATATATTATATTATATAATTATAATGTTATATATAGTAAGTAATGTCACTAATAATTAGGGAAATACAAATTAAAACAAATCTGAGGGTTTTTAAAAAAAACTTATTAGATAAGCTATGTTGACAAAAGGGGGAGTAACAAATACTGGAGGGGCTGTGGGAAAACAAGTACTTTAATGCATTATTAGTGGAGCAGTAATCTGCTCTAACCATTCTATAAAGTGATTTGGAAGTATGAACAAGAAGCTATTAATCTCACCACCACACACTTATAATTCATCAATACTGGTTCTAGGTTTATAATCCAAAGAAATTAAAGAATGAGGAAAATGATTCTTATGTATAGAAATATTTATAGCAGCTCTATTTGTCATAGCAAATAATTGGAAACTGAGGGGATATCTATCAATTGGGGAATGGCTGAGCAAGTTCTGGTATATCAATACGGTGGAACAAATATTGTGTTGTAAGAGAAGATGCAGGACATGTTTGCAGAAAGACCTGTAAACTCTTGTTTGAACTGATATAGAGTGGAATGAGCAGAATCAGGAGAATAATTTATACAATCACAATATTGTAAAAATAGTCAAGTTTAAATTCTATGAAATGCTGTTAAGCACTATGACCAATTATATCCAAAGGACTCATGATGAAATATGCTATCCAGCTTTAGGGCAGAGAGTTGATATGCTCAGAGTGCAGATTAAATTATACTTTTTTTTTTTACTTTCTTTTTCATTTTTGGAATATGGATATGACTAATGTGGAAATTAGTTTTGCATCAATACTTACATACATACCTACCTGCATATATATATACACATACATACATACATATATGTATATATATACATACATACATACATATGTATATATATACACATACATACATATATATGTATATATATACATACATACATACATATATATGTATATATATGTCAGTTACACTGTCTTCCAGCATAGTCATATCCAACACAAAATATTGTGCCACTCATGGCCACCATATCTGAGAAATGACTTTTTTTTTTTGGCTGTTGGGGTTAAGTGACTTGCCCAGGGTCACACAGCTAGTAAGTGTCAAGTGTTTGGTCTGAGGCCGGATTTGAACTCAGGTACTCCTGACTTCAGGGATGGTGCTCTATCCACTGCACCACCTAGCTGCCCCAGAAATGATGTTTTAACAAAAGGAAAATATCTAAAGGACAGCCAAAGTTGATAGGGAGGTATATTCTATGCCATATGAAGATCAACCGAAGGAAGTGAGGATGCTTTGCTTAGGGCAGAGACAGTTTATAAAGATGTGCTAGTTGTCTTCAAATGCTTTAACATTGGAGAGGGGTTAGACTTGATTTACATGGCAGCAGAGAACAGAATTGGGACCATGGAAGTTACAGGGAGATAGATGTTGGCTTGATGAGAGTGGAAGATTCTTGAGGATTTGAACTACCCAGAATTGGAGTTGGGTTGCTTCAGGAAGTAGAAGATTTGCCTTCTTTGGAGGTCTTCAGAGAAAGGCTAGGTGATGCAATAGATAGAATGCCAGCCTTGGAGTACAGGACCTAACTTTAAATCTAGCCTTGGACACTTACTAGCTGTGTGACCCTGGGTAAGCCTCTTCACCCTGTTTACCTTAATTTCTCATCTATAAAATGAGTGGGAGAAGGACATGGCAAACCACACTAGTATCTTTGCCAAGAAAGCCCTATATGGGGTCTCAAAGGGCCAGACACGACTGAAATGTCTCAATAACTAACAAGAAAAAGAATGCATGAGCATTGCTTGGCCTGCTGCAGACATGATGTTTGTTCATGTATTTGCTGTAGTAAGATGACTTTTCAGGTCCCTTTCAACTTTGAAATCATATAATTATGTGATTTAGGAAAGAGGATGAACAGGTTTTATTTTCCTATCAGTAGTTGGAAGCTAGCTAGTGCCTGAGGCTTCTTATTTGCTTTGGAATGATGTCTCTAATCCTAGTCAGCATCTGGGGTTTGGTCACATTGTGAAGCTTCTATAGGGACTTCCATCCAGCTATGTTTCTCTGTGGAAGACTAGAACACATATCATGAGCATTTCGTCCTCCTCCTTCCAACACTTCAGGGTTTGCATGCTATAGTTATGTATTATAGTTACGTATTATATAGCCTCATTAGAAAAGGGCAATCTTGGCAATTTATGTAGCATTTAAAGTTTGCAAAGCACTTTGTAGATGTTAATTCTTTTAAGTTTCATGAGAAATCTGTCAGAAACATATAATAAATGTTATTTTTCTCATTTCTCAGATGATAAAGTCGCAAAGATGATACATGCAGAAGTTGAAGAGACATTGTTTTCTCTCATTATTGATTAGAAATGTTAGAGCCTCTGATGTAAAGCAAAATTTCCATGATCATAGAGACCTTAGGTTTCAGACCTTGCATTCAAGATTATGCCTGATGAATCTGAGTTTACTTCTTTCATGGTTCTATTATGCATGACTTTCCTATGCTCCTATAGCTATTAATTGTCACAGGCAGAATTTTCATCTTTATATTCCAAGGACTAAGTGTAGTGTCTGGTACATACAGACACTTAATAAATGCTTGTTGATTGCTTCATTTGTACTTTAGATCTCCATAAAACTTTAACTCCATTCTGCTTTTGTCAGCACTCTTTCTGATAAGAATCAAAGATGTTTATATCATTACCATTAGATACTTAAAATGGGTTAGGTTAATTATTGTTTTCTGAACTTAATTGACAGTCACAGAATTCCATGTACTTTATTCCCCAACAATATGTCAATAAAGGTAAATTCTGAGAGTTTACAGGTGAAAATTTGTATAGGAGCATAAAACCTCCCAGATCATGGTCTCATTGGCTGTCCCTTCAACTCCACCTCTTGTTTTCAGGCCATTATATACCTTTCAGAATTTTTCAGGGAATTACAACAACACTTGAAGTTGAGATATTAAGAACTAAGGTACAAACAGAGACAAAGAAAAGACACAGAAAAAAAAGCTGACTAGAGAGCACAACAATGAACATCATTCCAAGCTTAAGTGCTGGAACCTGGGCACTGCTTGTTCTCTTCTTGACTCTCCTGTTTCTGTAAGTGAGAACCTCTTTTTTCCCCACTACAATTCATCAAGGGATTAGACAGCTCCTTTGTGAATGTCACAGGACATTTCACAATGACTGGTTTTTAATTGCTTCTACTCTTTGCATAAGGTAGATAAAGATATATTTGTTATTTAGTATTTCTGTAACTGAAAATGCTGACTTTCTTTGTTTATATAAATGAGTTGACATAGTTTGCTAGAAAAAGTACCAAAGGAAAGCAAACTCCTTGATCAAAGGCTGCATTGTCTTCTTATCAAAAGAACAGACTTTTAGGATATTCATTTGGTATTAGTCAAGTAATTTAAAAGCCAAGAAAACTCCTTAAAGAAACCTAAGTTCATATGAATTGTCTTTTTATTCTTTTCCAATTTTGCTCCCTATTATTTTACTTTTCAAAGTTTAAAAGGTATTTCCTTATGTCCAATTTTTTTTTCAGTTTAATTGTTCTGCTCATCTTGACAAAAATGTTAGTCTTTTCTATCATCCAGATTCTAGGCATCACATATGGCACAATGTCCATTCTCATTTTCAAAATCTTTGGAATGGGGCATCACCAAAAATTGAGTGTTGTTGTTCTGCTCCCTCTTTCTCTTTTAACTAATCACTGTCCTAGGAAAACAAGAAACTAGAAAATTGGTCAATGTGACAGATAGATGTTAGAGGTGGAAGCTTTTCTGTACAAAAAAAAATATGAGTTGCTCAATTATGTCTAGTGTTGCAGTCCACACAGACTGATGAGGCACAAGGTCTTGTACTGACAGTAGAACTGGTAGAGACCCAACCTCAGGTCCTGCAACCACCCTAAACCTCAGCATTTGCTGTCTTTATTTTTTAAGGCTTCTGATGGCTTTAAGGACTATTATTTAATTATGTTCTATAGGATATAAATATTTTGTGCTTAGGCATTTACTTATTCCCTGGAATGTTGGTTAATTTATCATATAATGAAGCACTGGTCACAGCTAAATGTTAAAGGAAAATTCACAGAACTTTGTAAATTTCCCTTTCTATTTTTCCTACAAACTATGAATCTTACTAATTTATTCAGGTAGTAGAAGTTGATATTCACATGCCCTTTGTGTGCTAGGATTTTCAAAATTCCCTGTAAGGAAATAGAGAGTAACTGTTATAATTATCCACATGAATATAAAACATGAACAGTTTGGAACACAAGAGGTTGTTTTTGAACAGTGAGATAGTTTAATGTCATAATCCCAATACATAATTGTCTTCCTTAGAACTATCAGGAAACACTAGAATGTCACAGAACTAGAGAAATATGACCATCAGATGCTATAGGATCCTTCTATAGTGATGCCAAAATCACAACAACATTGATGGCTTAGGAGACACCTAGCAAACTAGAATGACAACGTGCTCTGGAGTGAAAGGCCCAAATTCAGATTCTTCTCTTGATGCTCACTTACCTATGTGACCTTGGCCAAGGATCTTAATTCATTAAGCCTCAGTTTGCTCATTCATATAGTACGGGGAATCTGAAGATGGACTCTGAAGCCTGTTGAAACTAGATTTATAATGCTATTATCCTAAGTCCCATAATGTAAGTCACAACGGCCAATGTGTACTGCTTTGTGCTATTGCTGGCTGAGGATAATGATGTGTTAGTGTTTATAGGAGCATAGGATATGAGACCTAGGAATGAATTTGGGGATTGTCTTCTACAACTCCCTTATTTTCTCCCTCATTTGACAGCTCAGGCACTCGAGGTTAAGACAAGAGAAGGAACCTGCCTAAGAATACAACACAAATAAAAAATAAAGTAATATAATTTAGTATTGTATGTATATGGAACCTACTAATTTGAGGTTATAATCAGCAAATAGATGTGCTAAGCAAAAAAGATGGAAAACTATACCCTAGATGAGGAAATAATATCAATATTAAATATAGAGATGATTAGTGGGATATCAAACAAGTTATTTTAAAAAAATTTAGAAACTCTGTTGTGAAGTCAAAACTTCATGAGTTGAACCTTTGATATGATAGTCATACTCTTACCCTACATTCAGCCTATATTGAAGTCAAATCAGGTTAAGTAGCTTAAAAATAAAAAAGGAAAGAAAATACCATAGTTCCCATCCAGGCTTGCTAGAAATAATTTCCATATTTGAGCCCATATTTCTTTGTCTCTCTTTTTTTCTTCTCTTTTATGTAGGTAAAGTTTTGGTGTAAGGGTGTAACCATTCTGATTGTGTTGATATTGCCTTACCTTATCTCATAATGGACCTCCCTTATTTCCTTGGGTATATTAACCATGATTATTGTGGGACATTCTATTATATCTGATTATGATAATGTGTCATAATTAGTTTAGCCAATTTTGAACTTAATATTTGTGTCCATTTTTTGCTTTTCAAAATAAAGAACCAATGAATATATTTTATGTGCATAAGTAATTTACAATATTATGTTTATTTCTGTGATAATAACCTGGTAGAGGAATGGCTTGATTACAAGTAATATTCACTTTGTTACTCTCATAAAGTAAATGGATATTGCTCTCCAAAATATTTTCTTGATTCTGAAGTCCTACCAACAATATATCAGGGCATCTGATTCCTCATAACCCTACCAAAAGTGGATGTGACCATTGTGGGTCTAATTACAAGGTTCTGCAATGTATTTTGATTTAGAACAATGAATTCAAAGGTAAAAACATGAGGCACCTCCCTACTTACCCTCTTGATTTGGCTTCCATTGCTGAACATGCTCCCTATCAATGCTAAGCACCTTCAGCAAACCTGTCTCTCCATTCAGTGCAAAAGTCTTTGAGGAATTAAAGTTGTGGGTCTCCCATAGCATATTGTATAGGAATATGATAAGCTTGAGTAAGCTGCAGCATATAATGAAGGAAGAAAGAAAGGAACTCAGGAAGAAAGGGACTTAGAAAGGAAGGAAAATAGAAAGGAAATATGAAAGTAAGAAAGACTTTTCTAAGCATGTATTATATTCCAAGAACTGTCTCACATATCTTAACAATATACGCATTTGATCCTCACAACAATCCTGTACGGTAGGTACCATTATTATCCCCATTTTGCAAAGAAATTTTGCAAAGAAAACTGAGGCAAAAAGAGGTTAGGTAACTTGGCCAGGATCCATATCTACTTAATGTTGAAAGCTGCATTTGAACTAAGGGTTTCCTCTCTCTAGTTCCAGTGTTCCATCCATCAGACCACTTAGCTCTGAAGAAATAGTGGTGCAAGGATATCATGAAAGACATTTCTCAGCTCTCCACCCCTGCTCCCTACCACAATTACTAATTTTTATATGAGACTGAATAAATCCTATTTTAATTAGCTGTGAACATGTTAGAGATATTAAAGAGATAGTATCCAATTGGAAGGGGTGGTCAATATTGACAAATGGTACAGAGAGGTAAAGAACTTTGAAAATCGAGAAAAAGTCATTGAATTTCATTTCACAATCAGGAGATTGTTGTTGCCATTGGAGGAAGCAATTTCAAATGAATAATGAGATCGTAAGCAAAAATGCAAGTCAGGTTATGCTAGCCTCGAATAGATCACAGATTCATTCCCCAGCCCAGGAGAGAGCTTGGAGAGAGAGCCTGATATCAGCCCCCAAAAATCTGAAGTAAGTCTGCAATTCATGGACATCCAGAAATGATCAACCCCAGGCTAGCAATTTAGGGCTTGGGACAATCTCTTTACTAGGAATTCAGTGCCCAAGGCCCCTAGGTGAATATACTGTGGACTTAATACCCCACACAAGAAAGCAGTATAAGAAACTCCAGAAGGGCTGTCATCACAGACTCAACTCCAAAAGTTTTCCAAGCTAGGTCTGCAACACCAGGTTACCTAGAACAAATGAGTGAAGGAATGACTAAACAAATAAGAAAACATAAGAACTACTAAGAGACAAAGATTACCCAAACAGTAAACCAAGAAGAAGAGAATCTCTCTCTCTCTCTCTCTCTCTCTCTCTCTCTCTCTCTCTCTCTCTCTCTCTCCTCAACAATTCATTGAAGAAAACCATAGCTTGCCAACAAAACCAATTAGAATTCCTAAAAGAAATGATGCAAGAGCTAAACAATTTAAATTAAAATGATATTATAAATTAATTGAGCCTGACAGAGAAAAAAAAACTGGAGAAGAAATGAGAGGTGTGGAGGACACTCTTGGAAATAGTATTAACTGTTTGTCATAAAGGGAACAAATTCTTACCTGAGTTATGCCTCCTTGAAAATTAGAATGGACCAAACAGAAGATAATGATTCTATGAAACAAGAAGAAACATCAAAACAAAGCCAAAATTGAAAAACAGAAGATGATATAAGATTTCTTATATGAAAACTGACCTGGATAACAGATCAAGAAAAGGTCACTTAAGAATTAACGAACTACCTGAAAGTCATGACAACAAAAAAAGAGAACAGGAATCATATTTCAGAAAATCAGTGGAGAAAACATCTCACATTTCATTCAACTCGAGGGCAAATTGAACACATTTGCCACAGTTCTGGAAAGAGATATCTAAATGAAAACCCCTCGGTATGTCAGAACCAATATCCAAAGGTTCCAAAGCAAACTATTGCAAATATTAAAGAAAAAAGAATTTAAGTTATGAATAGCCACATACATGACCTTGTAAGATTTAGCAGCTTACATTAAATAGTACAGAATGCGGTGTTCCTCAAAACAAATGACATACACTACGTACTAAAAATAACTTAATTAGTAAAACTGAGTTTAATTATACTGGGGGAGAAGGGATTGATGGTGAAATAGAGAACTTCCAAGCATTCTTGAAGAAAAGACCAGATTAAAGTAGGAACTTTACAGACTTGATGGAAAGAAATATATAAAAGAGTGAACAATTGGAAATGACTAAAATCTTTTAGGGATAAAGTCTTTGCAATCCAATTGGGTGAGAGATGGAATGCAATATCTCATAAGAACTATAGTGCCAGATGAAGCCATAGAAGGGCCAAATAAGATTGAGGCCTTAGAAGTGATTTTTGTAATGTATGATTATCTTTAAGGAGAAAGGAAAGGGAGGAGGGATACAGGAAAAAAGGAAAAAAAGAAGAGGAATGGAGTGGATATATCTCATAATTGTAGTAGAATTGAAAGCAGAAATTCAAGTAGAATTGAAGTAAAAATTCAAACAAATGAGGAAGAACAGGGGAAGAGTGTGACTTGAATCTTACTTTGAACTGACTACAAAGCAAAGTGAGCAGAACAAGAATAATTAATATACTATTTTTAAAATTATCAATTTTGAAAATCCTAAGAATTCTGACCCTCATAATGATTGCCTATGAATCCAAAGGATTGATAATTTACAATGCTGTCCATCTTCTGACAGAGGTGATGGCCTAGCCACTCAGAGGAAGTAATTCATTTTTGAATATGGACAATGTGGGGATTTGTTTTGTATGACTGTTCATTTGTTATAGAGGTTTTGTTTTCTTTTTTCTTTTCACAGTATGTGTGTGGGAATGAGGAGGGAGGGAGGGTGAGCCAATGCTTGTTAATATGCAGTTATTATTTTTATCAAAGAAAGTGAAGATAGAGCCTAGAAGGATACTGAATGGTGGTAGTTTGGGAACAAGAGTTCAAGGTAAAGATGAAAAATAAGATGTAGAGAGAAAAGAAATTATATGATGTGGTCAGACAAAGCAATTTTAGAATCCTTGATCATAAAAGTGGAATATTTGGGGTGACAATGAGATCAAGATTGTTATTATTCCAGTATGTGACTTATGGAAAATAAAGCAATAGGACATAGGGGTTGAGATTAAGGAATAGGGAGGCCAGGGTGTTTTAGGGACTAGCTGAACATTGATCTCACCTGACATAAGGTCAGAGTAGATTGCTAAGGAAGAATGAGCCAGCATCTGAAGCCCTTGAGAAAAGAGAGCTGTAATCCAGTATGTAACTGCTTTCAGCATTGGATTGGGTAAGATATATCTGGAAATAGTGAAACTAGAAGGAGGAAAGGTTGCCAAGTGATGCCAGAGAAAGGATCTAGGAGTGGTAATAAGGAGCAAGGAAGGAGTATACTGAGGTCTCTACCAGGACTAGTATATCTGAGGACATAAGAACCCAGGAGATGAAGGGAAATGTGTTGATAATAAAATGAAGATCCAGAGGACACAACGGAAGAGGTGGGCAGAGCTGTATTGCTACCTGACAGGGGTAAGACTATGATGTGTAGGGATAAGACAATGGGAAATAGAGGCAGGGGAAGTGGAGATTTTTGCTTAGTCATGTGGAAACTCAGTCAAATGGAACAGTAAGTAATAGGAGTATGCTAGTCATAAGCTAACAGTAATCTCTCCTTCTAGTATCAAGGAAGGATATTAAGAATGGTGTAAATAGGTCTTCCCACACATAAGGTCCTAACAGTAAGATGTGTGGTGTCTAAGTCTTTGGTACTACGGTGGGTTGTTAAGTTGAATGAAAGACATTGAGAACTGTGATTCTGGTGTTTGGTGTTTTTCTTCTAAAGTAGAGTGGTCTGATGTCTGAGGCACCAGAGCTGGGTTGGCTCGTGAAGAAAAGGGATTAATGTCTGAGGCCCAAGTCCTGAACTTTTTTGGTTGTATGTAAGGTACATTTACCCTGAATGGGTACTACTCACAGCACAATAGAGGGGGGGTGATATTCCAGCAGCAGTGCTGATGATGGTTTGCTCAAGGCTTGCCACACTTGACCACATCTAATATGCTGTCTTAGGCCTTACTGAGTCTCAAGCGGTACTTCAGGAAATCTCGGTTGAGTTTTATAATATCTCAGGATGTTTGTGGGAGCCATAAAGTATCTCTGGAAATGTCCCCTTGGCACTTGGATCTAAGTGAATCCAGCCTTACCTCAGAGCTACCTTTATAGGTCCTCCCCTTCTGATTAATGACAAGTGAACTGCACCATTTATGTCTTTGGTCATTGCTTTGGCTCTGATGTCTTTTTATTTTTCCTTTACTTTACAGATATGGGACCTGGACACACAGGCTCTTTAAGGAGCTGGGAATTCCAGGACCAACACCGCTTCCTTTCTTTGGCACTGTTCTTTCTTATCGCGAAGTGAGTTTCTATGAATTTTCTTTACTCCCTTTGCACCATGGAAGGAGCATTTGCTCTAGGCTCAGGAAACTTTGGTACAAATGCAAGCTCTGATACTTATGTATGTGACTTTGGGCAAATCATTTTTTTTCTTAGGCCTCAGTTTCCTCATCTATAAAATGAGAGGTCTAAGATCTTCTGATTCTTTTTATGACCTCAGATTTACCAAAGATTAGTTATAATGCACTTGTCCTTCAGTGTTACAGGATGGAATGTGTAGCAATATTCAGGCCCACCTTTCATTGGACAAAGGGCTTCATTAGCAAGTCTTAGATGCTGAATATTTTATGCTAAATTCTGCCTGAGTGGTTGTCAGTGTTATCAATGCTCTCTGGTAAATTTAGCCATTGATTCAAACAGCATTTCCTTTTGAATCCTGTGCCCTCAGGACCCTAGGGGATAATGACTAGACCTGTAATTTAACTGGCACAAGAATTCCCAGGTAATGTTACCACCTGACTTTTCCCACAACTTTTAGTCTTTTACCTACAGTATGAATTAATTGCCTTGCCTAGGGCCACCCAAGCAGCATGTGTGAGAGACAGAACTTGAACCAGGAAATTCTTGGTTTTGAGAACAATTTTGAGAGATCTCTATGCCTTTCCACTGACTGCCTAAGGAGCATTTATCTCCAGATGTTAATGCATAGATAGGAGAGAGTGCATGTGAAGCTTTAGACCAGAAGATATGTCATGTAATGGAAAGAAGTAGAGTTCAAAGACTGGGATTGATAGGTCACTGGTTCAGGGAGGGCACAACCATTTTACTTTTTGTGTCCTACAATTTGAAGCACAGTATTTTCACTTTTTAAATGAGAATTTAGTGAGAGCATAAGTTTACAGAGTGTATCATAGTTTTTATTAAGTTCCTACAATGTTCTAGGTACAGAGTTACAAATACAATAAATAGAGCAAGCCCTACTTTAAACAGGCTTTCATAGCGTAGGAAAAAGGCATTAAAGTTACAGTCAAGAGGCCAAGAATCCTAGAAAAATCTCTTTCTGCTAGAGAGATCAGGAAAAGCCTCATGGCAGTGACTACATTTGAGCTGGATCAGATGTCAATAAGTAGAGATGGGGGTAGGCGACCATATCCAGGCAAAGTAAAAAACATAACAACAATAGAAAAAAATATACAATTATTTTATATTTACCATCCTAATGTAAGGCATTTTTAACATTTTTCATCATTAAGAATTCATGCCCAAATCTGATTTTAAAATGTTTTTTTCAGGGTTTTACAAATTTTGACATGACTTGTTTTAAAAAATATGGGAAAACCTGGGGGTGAGTATTCTAAGTAATCTTTCTATTATGCCTACACATTTCAATGGTCAGTCACCCATAGCTACCCACTCAGACAATTACATTTGTGAAGATACAAGTATTGAAGATCTGTTTAATGCTACACAATTTTATTTTAGGCCCATAGCATCATAACAGGTGCACCTAGTATGATATCATTCTGAGTCATGGATTCTGTACATATCCCCTTATTTTAGTTCAGTGCTGTGATAATGGGAATGTTGAAGAAATAGAGAAACATTGTATAAAGTGTCTACCATGTAAAGGCCCACTGAGCAATGTAGATACAAAGACAGAACTAAAAAAGAGTTCCAGCCTTGAAGGAGCTTCCATTCTATTGTACAATTCAATGTGCAGAATGAATAATAATGAAAAAAGATGATCAGAGAAGTAGTAACAGATAGAGCAATGAAGGTAACCAATGTTTCTTTTAAAATTAATTTTGCTTCAAAAGACTATTCTTCCACGTTCTTTAAATCATTTCAATGTCTTTACCAAGAATACCCCAACTGGGGTCATGAAGATTTGCACATGACCAAAATAACTGAACAACAATAACAACATTTTATTATATTTTTATTTATTTTATTAAGCATTTTCCAGTTTCATTTTAGTGTGGTAGTAAAGAGTTTTAAAGATGCTTGTAGATCACCTATGATTTTGAAACCTCTGATCTATATGGTTATTTATTTTCATAACTTTATTGGTTATATTTAACTCCTTTTTCTCCCTCTTATCTCATATTCCTTCAGTTTCCTGGAATTTTTAATTCCATTTCTGTAACATCTCTCAAATCAATTTAATATTCCTATTGCCACCACTACCAACACTAGTACAAATTGCTATTATCACTCATATAAAGTAGTGTTGTGACCTCTTGACAGGCTTCTTCCTCTCTCTACTCTCCCTTCTCCTTGGTCCACTTGAAAAATAATACTGTATGGTGGAGTGAAAGCAGGAACTGGCCCAAGCTCTCCCCAAATCTCCCCAAATACCTCTAAAAAGTGACTTTGAAGAAAATTCTAGAGTAATAGAACCCACAAAGATACAGAGTGATGCGGATTTCCAGCCCAAGATAATCTAGAAGGTTGACAGGAAAGGTCTACTGCATCTGCCTGAGAGAGCAGCATCTAGTGTACACACCCAGCCTAAGCAAAGTAAAAAGGCTTTGGGAGACTAAATCACCAGCAGCAGTGATAGTTTCCAGTCTTCTCAACCCACAGAAACCAGAGAAAACTTAGGAGGTCAAAGGGAGAAGTCTGTCAAAACTGGGTGAAAGAGAAGTGCAATCCAGCACAGGGCTGCAGGGCATGCGAATACAGCCCCTACACCAGCAAACCAGGAATAGGCCTGGGGAGTGACTGAATCAGCAGCAGTAGTGGTGGCAGCAGCAGTAGCAGCTGCTCCTGGAGCTATTAGCCCACAGACTGAATATTTGAAAGTCACCTGTTTTGACTTTGGGGAGCCAAGATGGTGCAGTAAGCAATAAGTAGCTCTCACCATCCTTTATTGACCTTGAAAAAAACAGAGAATATTGCCCAAGGAAAAATCCTGAAGTAGTAGAGTCAGCAGAAAGACTAGATACAGCAGTCTTTTAGCTCCTGAGGCTAGGAGGATTAATTTTTACTGTGGCTGAAGGGGACTAGTACAGGAAGGGAGGTGTCCCAGCAAGCCGGTGGCAAGCCCCACCACAAAAAACCAGTATCCAGACCCTAGCCCCCAGCACAGGAAGCCTGGGACAGTACACCCTGTGCCCCAGAAGCAGAGATCAACTTTAAAAACAAACAAACAAAAAAGGCAAACACACTAACAAGAAGCAACATAGAAAAAACAATGATCATAGAAAAGTATCTAGGTGGTAGGGAAGACCAAAACATAAATTCAGGGGAGGATAACATTGTCAATATACCCACATATGAAACCTCAGAGGGCAATAAGAACTGGTCTCAAGCCCAAAAAGCCTTCAAGAAGGATTTTAAAAGTCAAATAAGGGAGGTAGAAGAAAAATTGAAGAATTCCTTTAAAAATACAGTTGACAAAATGGAAGAAAAGTACGCTGAAGAAAACAATTCCCTAAAAAGTAAAATGGGCCAAATGGAAAAGGAGGTACAAAAGCTAACTGAAGAAAACAATTCATTAAAAATTAGAATTGAGCAATTGGAAGCTAATGACTTTATGAGACACCAAGAATCAGTAAAACCAAATCAAAAAAATAAAAAATGGAAGAAAATGTGAAATTCTTCATTGGAAAAACAACTGACCTGGAAAATGGATCCAGGAGAGATAACTTAAGAATTATTGGTCTACCTGAAAGCCACGATAAAAAAAAAAAGAGCCTGGACACATCTTTCAGGAGATCATCAAGGAAACCTGCCCTGAAGCCCTAGAACCAGAGGCTAAAATAGTCATTGAAAGAATCCACAATCACCTCCTAAAAGAGATCCCAAATTGAAAATGCCAAGGAATATTGTAACCAAATTCCAAAATTATCAGGTCAAGGAGGAAAAAAATACTTATTTTTAAAAAGTATTTATTTTTAATGTTCTTTTAAAATTTTTTAGTTCAGAATAATCACCCTCTCTAGTCCCTACCTACCCCCTTCAAAAGGCAAATAATATGTCAATTGTATATGTGAAGCCATGAAACGTATTTCCATATTAGCCTATTCAAAAAAAATTAAAATAATGAAAATGGAAGACAGTAGCTTCATCAGTTCTCCCTCTATTGAGGGTGGTATTTTTCATCATGAATTGGTTCTTTTTAATTTTCTTTGGTCATTTGGCCCATTCTTAATGTGATTATTAAAATAATCTCTATTGTACCTAAATGTGTTTATGTTCACAATTGTGCATTTAAGTCCTGCCTGGCTCCATATTGCCTCCTAAGTAAATTGCAAAAAACTACTGCCTTGTGTTCAAGGCTCTTCTAGCATGTTGCCACCTTATGCTCCCAGGCTTATTTCCTATTAGTCCCCTCTATGCCCTTTGTTATTCAGCCAAATTGGATGACTCTTTGGCTCCCAAACACACTTGCCAATCTCATGCCACTCTGACTGCTCAGGCTATTTGCTGTCATTGAAATGCCCTCCTCCTTTCCTTTTCCTACAGAGTGCCTGACCATTCTTTAAAGCTCAATTTAAATGTTATCTCTTCAATGAAGTTATTCCCTTTTCCCATCACAACTCACAAAAACAACAACAACAATAAAATCTACTCTTTAATGTTTTCCAAGTGCTTTATACATGTTATCTTATTGATCCTCATAACAATCCTCTAATGTTGATACTATATTTTTCTACCTTTTTCTAGTGAGGAAATTCAGCCTGAGAGAGGTTACTGACTTGCATGAAGTCACAGAGCTAGGAAATGTCTGAGGCAGGATTCCAACTTCAGCATGCACCAAGTATTTCATAAATATTGTCTGATGAGTTTTATTTTAGATTTTTGGTTCATGTCCACATCTCAAATTAGGGGTAGCATAAGGCAGCAGGGAACTCATGGCCATCAATTTATAGTTTCCTCTTGCTACCTCTATTAACAACAGTGTAACTTGGTGACTGCTACAATTTGTTCCATTTGGTGGTATAGGTTTTTTGATGGCAGGCAACCTGTATTGGCCATCACGGACCCAGAGACTATCAAATCAGTGCTGGTAAAAGAGTGCTATTCTGTCTTCACCAATCGTCGGGTAAGTGACAGTGGAAGACTAATATGGACAACAATGGGAAAAGCATGGTAGCTGTGTTAAGGATCACAGTTTTTAGACCATCTATAAACACTTGCTTCACCATTGACATTCTTGCAGAAGACAGGACAGGCAAGACAGCCAGCTTAGGGCAATGCAGCTTAAGGTAGAGACAGAAGGTAGCTTTTGCTGAGTGATTTGAAGCCCCAGCAATACCATTTAGGCCTCAAAAACTTGGGGTGGTGATGCCTCCCCAACAGCTAGATTTGCCTATCATGCAGCCCCCAGAATTATTTTTAAAGGGAAAGGTAACTGTGGAAAATGGGCGTGCTCCCTTCATCTCCACAGGCAATGAGTGCTCACCAGCTGCCTCCAAAGGATAGATGGACAAAGGAGACATAGTCTGGGAAGTTCCCCCCAAGCCTTCTTTTCTACTTTTGGCCAGGCATTCACAGTCATGATCTTGGAATAAAAAATCCTGTGGAGGAGGTGCTGGCTATCTCCACCTATTGTCAAACAATTATCTCACTTGTTACAGGCCAGCCAGAATAATTGAAGCAATTGATGCCATAAAGAAGAGAAAGGGAGTGATGTGTCAGGCAGGTCAAATTACCACCCCCACCCCCACCATTATTTCGCCTCAGACACTGTGGGAGATTTCCTAGCATAGGACCTCTGGGAATAGCAATGTTTTTAGCCTAGTACAACCAGGCATCATCCTGGGAAGCAACCTCTGCAGTGGCGCAGCCTGGAAAATGCTACTGCAGGTACAACAGTCACAGCTTTTAAATATCCAGAAAAGAAAATTCTTGCCACCAAAGTCCATGGACTATAAAGAGACATATAACAAACTATAATTAGAAAGAATTAGTTTTTTATATTGGAAAATGTAATAGATCTGGTTCCACCATTTAATAAAAGAATGGTCTTGCCTTTTACCTTTTTCTCCTAGAATTTTGGTCCAGCAGGGTTTTTGGAGAATGCTATCTCAATTGCTGAAGATGATCAATGGAAGAGGATTCGAACAGTGTTATCTCCAACATTTACAAGTGGAAAACTCAAGGAGGTAAAGCAATGGATATTGGTCATATTCTAGAAAACTGAGTGTAGGGGAAAGTAAAATAAAAGTTCCAATGATTTTCTCCAGTTAATGCCTAATTAATAGGCCCATATATCTGAGCTTCCTATAAGGAATATTTTCTATCCTACTCTTTTGATGTAAAATGAAGAGAGCACTGTCTCTGAAGTCAGACAACCTGATCTCCAATCTCACCTCTGATGCCTATTACCTGAATGACCCTTGGCAAGTCACTTAACCATTCTGGCTACAATTTCCTCATCTTTAAAATGAAGTAATTTGACTACATGCATGGCCTAGAAGGACTGTTATTACTATAGATGCATGATTTTTTACATTTTAAAGGAGAGAAATGAATTTATGAAATACCATTGTGCCTCTTGAGTTTGTTTTGGAACTAGATTTTCTATATATAACTATTGTCATTTGGCATTTAGATGTTTCCCATCATTAACCAATATGGAGACATATTAGTGAAGAACATGCAAAATGAAGCAGAGAAAAGCAAGCCTATAACTCTGAAAAAGTAAGTATGGGGCAACAACTGTAGCAATCTGAGGAGCAACAGGATACCCCGTTTGCTTCAGCTTCATTTCTGTCATCTTTCCTCAGAAATTGAAGCACCCACTTTTAGAGTTATTCTCTTGAATTTTTAATTAACAAAGGAAGTGTAAAGGACAACATGGTGAGATCTTCCCCTCTGAGGCTAAGCACCTTGAGAAAGCCATTGACAATTGATGATTCTACTTGTGGTCCTTTTTTCTTTATCTTTTCATATTCTGAATTCTCTGTAGTCTGGCTTCCAAATTAGTAATTCAACTAAGGCTTTTATAAAATTTTAAAAAACTTTCTCCAAAATTACTGTTGATCTTTTTTTTTTACATTTATGAAAATAACTAAAACTCTTTTCTTAACCTCTTGCTTTATATCTTCCCAAAATTGTATTACAATTTGGGCCCAAGTTGTGTTTTCCTTTAAGGATTTCCTCGTAGATATTTTTGGAGCTATTTTCTTCTGTGTTTTCAGTGTCTCTGTCACCATAATGGTATTTTTTTGTGGGATTCTTTTTGTTTGTTCATTTGTTTTCAACTTTATGACTTTAGACTTTATGTTAGGTCCAGATTCTATATAAATCTAGAGGAAGCATCCAGATGTTGGTTCTGTTGTAGGTTTTTTGGAATTATTGGTTGTTTCATTATTACAGACTCCAAAGTCTAATTCAAGCTGGGAACTTACAAGCTTTTGATGCTCTAAGTAGTTTTATCCAGGCAAAGTCTGATTAGTTCCTCTATCTTTTCCCCTTCACTAGCAAGGTCTGAGCTTTGCATGTTCCTGACCTTTATTTGGATCTGAGTAGCAACAGACTGCTGCTAGACTGAGACACTATCACGCAGTTGGAAAACTCTCTTGGTTCAGTGACAAACGTAGGTTTCCCTTTGGTCTGAGAGTCCTCCCATTATTATTCCTCCATGGCCATTAGATAGGCCTAAAAACTAGAGCTGAGACCAAAATCTTTTCCTGGGGTCTGAGGCACATTGTTGTTGCTTGTTTTTGAACTTCCTCCTTGCTTGGTAAAGCCTGTGACTCATTCTCACATCTGGGCCCTTCCATAGTTCACATGGCATCTGTCACCCAAAAAGATGTAGAAAGTGACAACCTGCCACTTGGCACCTGTTCCACTATTCTACATGAGTTCCCAGTGTCCTAGTATTTTTTTAAGAACCTTTTATTTCCCTTGGGAAAAGTCTTTAGTTGCTGGAATATTTCAAAGGACTAATTTCTGGCCAGTATCTGTAGACCTTTACCTATGTCTCCCTACACCAGCCTGGTCTGGACAAATGACTCATTGTTTTTCTCCTTCTTGGATTCCCTAATAATTAACCAGTGTGGTCCATTTTCTAGACTAGTTTTGAGATGGGGAGGAGCTCTCTCTGCTTCTTGTTTCTTTTCCATATTAACTCCATCTCTAGCACTGCTCTCTTAATTTTCAAATCAATGACTTCTTGTGTATTTTAATCCTTGTTGACCCCATTGCAGCATCTGACACTGTTGAGCATCTTCTCTTTCAGGATGCTCTCTATTCTCCGTATTTTTTGATTCTGCTCTGTTTTGGTCCTCCTCCTCTCTGTCTGTGCATTCTTTCCCAACTTCTTTTGCTGAATGTCCATCCATGGAGCATCTACTAATTGTGTCTTAGTCAGTCAAGAATAACTTATAGTTATTTAATTTATCAAGAAAAACATGAAAAACATATCACATTCAAAATAACACTAGACAATATAAAATAACAGGGAATGTATTAGCCAAAACAAACCCAGGAACTTCATAAACAAATTTTAAAATCCTTTTTTATACAAATAAAATAATATGTAAGTAATTGGAGATATAGTAATAGTTTATGAGTAGGCAGGACCAATATAATAAAAATGACAATTATATCTAAATTAATTTATGTATTCAATGCCATCTCAATTCAGTTACTAAAAAATACTGAATTAGAAAAAATAATAAGAAAATTCATTTGGAAGTACAAAAACTCAAGAATAATTGAGGAACTAATGAAAAAAAGTATAAAGGAAGTACAGATTTTAAACTATTATTGAAGATAGTAATTATCAAAACTATCTTTTGCTGGTTCCAAAATAGAAAGATAGATCAATGGAACAGAGCAGACATACAACTTACAGACACAAATAAATATAGTGACCTTGTATTTGAAAAACGTAAAGACAATATTTTGGGATAAGAATTCATTATTTGATAAAAAAAATTGTAGGGAAAACTAGACAGCAATATGGCAGAAACTGGGCATAGACCAATATCTCACACCATTTACCAAAATAAGGTCAAAATGGATTTACTGCTTAGCTATAAAGAAAGATATTACAAGAAGATTTGAAGAACTTGAAACATGTTTATCAGACTTATGGATAGGTAAATAACTTATGAATAAACAAGAGAGAGAACAGAGTGAGGTACAAAATGAATAATTTTGATTCCATTAAATTAAAAAAAAAGTTTTGTACAAGTAAAACTAATGTAGCCAAGATCAGAATGAAAGAAGAAAATTGGGAAAACATTTTTATAGACAGTTTCTCAGATAAAAGTCTTATGTCTCAAATATCTCGATTTCTCAAATCTGTAAGAATATGAGTCATTCTCCAATTAGTAACTTGTCAAAGGATATGAACAGGCAGCTTTCTGATAAATCAAAACGATTTGTGGTCATATGAAAAATGCTCTAAATATTTTCATTATCTTCTTTAAATTGTCTTTTATTAAAACTATCAGTATCCTCAGTTCCTTCAACAAATTTTTGTTTTTGAATCACCTCACTAAAGTAGTCATTGGACACTATTTACTTCCAGTTTATTAATGTCCTTCTCCAAATATGATGCCCAGAACTTTGGACATAATGGATATGGTCTGACCAGGGCCAGAAGCACCAGGACCATTATCTCTTTCATTCTGGGTAATATGTCTTTCTTCCTGTACTCTAAGTGCCCATTTAATTTTTAAATTATTATTTATTAGAAAATGCACATTAAAACAGCTTTCAAATATCATTTTATACCTATCAAATTGGCTAAAATGATTGAAGATGAAAGTTAGAGGGGATTTGGAAAAATTGGACACTAATGGATTTTTGGTGGAATTGTGAACTGATTCTACAATTTTGGAGAACAAACTGGAATTATGCCCAAAGAGATATTAACCTGCTTATATCCTTTGACCCAGCAATAACACTATTAGGTCTATTTCCGAAGATGATTAGGGACAAAGCAAAAGAACCTTTATCTTCTAAAATATTTTTAACAGCTCTCTTTGTAGTGGTAAAGAACTGAAAATTTTGGGTATGCCCATCATTTGAGGAATGGCTGAACAAGTTGTGATATATGATCATGATAGAATACTACTATGCTATAAGAAATGATGAACTCGATGGTCTTGGAAAAAACGTGGATAGATTTGGACAAAATAATGAAGAGGGAAATGAGCAGAACCAAGAGAATATTGTATACACTAACAGTAATTTTGTTTTAAGAACAAGTTTGAATGAGTAAGTAATTTTTTCTGTTATAAATATCCAATTTAACTACAAAGGACATATGAAGAAAGAGGCTATCTGCATCCTGAGAAAGAATTGATAAATAGAAGCATGTACAGAATGATTTTACACACACACACAAAAACACACATTTAAATATATATTTGTGTCTAATGGTAGCAGTCTCTAGGGTGGGATGGAAGGAAAAGAAAGAAAAAATAAATTTACATGACAACTTTATTATACATTTAAATGGAATAGCAAGTTGCACGTAATAGATTTACATTTTCATGTGCAAGCATATTTTTTATTACACCATGTTATGGAAATGCTTGTGTTACTCCATAAATTAAAAATAAAATACATAAAAATTAAAAAACAAATAAAAATATGAAGATAAGAGTGGCAATGATAGTGTAGCTAATCTGAAAAAGACAGAAGAATGTGGGGTTAAAGATATAGCTGTCAGTACCTTCTCCTGCGTGGCCACATTCTTCTTCTGTGTACACACACACATTCATACATACGTGCATATGTATATATGCCATTAAGTGTGTGTTATATATATATATATATATATATATATATATATATATATATATATATATGTACATATGCATATGTTTATGTATGTATCCAATCTCTATTTGAATATAAGCTTCTTGAAGCCAGAGAATTTTTTGCATTTTTCTCATATCTCCAGTGGCTAGAATAGCTCCTGGCACATAGTAAGCACTTAGTAAATGATAGCTTAATAATTGGATGTAAAGAGTATTCATGTGAAAATGTATTCCTCTTTAAATGAGGGGAACCTAACCATCTCTAACAGCTTAGGGAAAGGAAGTGATAATCCCAATTAGCACTACTATGCATTTTGTCCCATGAATATCCAAGCTATCATTCATTCATTCATCCACTCATTCATTTATAAAATGTTTTTGGACTTCTGGGTACTTGGTGAGAAGAATCAACTTTTTTCTGAAAAAGTTCACCCAGTAGATACAACTAACCATTTTCAGCTACGGCCCTCATGCCCTGCTGGATTGAATATAGATCACAATAGGCATACCTGGCCAGACTGCATTAAAATATAATAAAGAAATATGTAATAAAATAAAAAATACAATAGAACACAAATAATATTAATATGTGTTTTTTTGTTTTCAATATATGGCCCATAGGTATCCTTTGGAATGGTTTAGTGACCCCAGTTTCTATGGAGTTCTACACCATGGGTTTAGAGGCTCACTTCATGTCTTTACTTGGAGAGGAAAGATGCAGTGCCTGTTCTGAGACTTTTTTTTTTTGCTTTTTCTCCTCAGAATTTTTGGGGCTTACAGCATGGATGTGATCACCAGCACTTCATTTGGTGTCAATGTTGATTCCTTGAATAATCAGAATGATCCCTTTGTCAGAGAAATCAGCAAGTTAATTAAATTCAGTTTTCTGGACCCACTCATACTTACAATAAGTAAGTTGGTTCTTCTTTATAGAAATAAATACTTAAAAATTCAGTGATTCTAACATACCTAAAGATACTCAATAACTCAGAAAGTTGGATCACAGATTTAGAGATGGACAGACATTTAGGAGCCATCAAGTCTAAGTTCTTAATTTTACAAATGATTAAACTGATGCATAGAGAGATTACAACACAATCTCAGGAATTCTGGAGATTCAATTCTTTAATTACTACTGTTAGGGAGGGAGGGCTTTCAGAGAGCATCTGACCTAAAGCCTTAGGGAATTATTTGTTGATTGGGTGAGTCATAGTTAGCTTAGCAGTTAACCTAGAAGGCTAGGGATGGGCATAGGACATTTGATTTTGGAGACACATTCCCTCCCACTGTTTGGCTTTTCATTGACCCCCACCAGTTCGTAGACAATCAGTTACCTCAAAAAGGAAATGAGTAAGCCATGTTACAATTTGTACCTCTGGTGCTATCTCCCCATCTACACTCCAAATAAAGGTGGTAGTATCACCTATAATTTCATAAGGATTTGTTTTTATTTTCCTCAGCGCTTTTTCCATTCCTTGTTCCTTTGTTAAAAACATTGGATGTAACTGTATTTCCGAAAGAAGCAACAGATTTCTTAGTAAAATCAATTAAAAAAATAAAGGAAGAACGAAAGATATGTTCACAGAAGGTAAGCAGGTCTCTCCAATGCTCAGAATAAGAATATGTGTACATTACAAATAGTGGTATTCTTCATCCTCAGAGTAGAGCAAACAAAAGTTGTATTCCCTTCTACCTGATGTTTATCTTTGTTCACTATAATTTTTATTCAATTCCAATTGTCAGATATTTTTGAGGACTTACTGTGTAACCTGAAGAAGTGTCACTTTGTGTCTTGTAAGCTCATGTCCATCTCTAACTCTATGCTCCTATTATTTAGTATTTGCCAGACAGTGATCTGTGTCTGTGGAAGTACAAAGTGTAAAAAGGCATTGTCCCAGCTCTCAATTAATTTACAATGGTATATATGGAATAAGACACATGTACTCAATATTATGTTGCAAATTGGTATATGATGTGTAGCAAGAACCCAAGGAAAAAGAAAGTATCTTTCTTCTTTGTTTATACACCCTCAAAACAGGCCTCACTAACAACACCAAAGGCTATATGAGAATAAGAACAAAAATTATAATTATACCAGTAATTTTGTATTCAAATTCTTCATATAGGCTCTTGGCCCACATTGAGAACATTTTTCATTTTCTCACAAAGCCTCTACTCCAAGGCCTTTTTCTGGAACAGCTATGACTCTTAATTCTTGAAGACTAGGTCAGAAAACTGCAACCAATTGTTGATCCTTGCAAGCTGCAAAGTCTTCAAGCTTAAGCATGTTGATTTATTATATGTTTGCTGACCTAAGACCAGTCTAGGTCCTAGGTATGCCCATTGGTTGACCACAGTAAGATCAATTTCTTTGCCTATAGTGATCCTGGAAAACCAGCCATGGGGTTATTGTACTATTGCAATCTGTGGTGTCCGCATCAATGATATTTTAAACCATTGAAGTCTTTCTGTCAGACTTAAGAGAATTCATTTCTTAGAATATTTAATATTTTCTTGTAGGTTTTTCAGAGTATGCTTCCCTTCCAAAACCCTGAGCTGGTGTTTGGGACATCATCTTTCAAAATTTGGGAATCTGATTTTAAGTTCTTATATCATTCACTTGAGGGTCAGGCTCTTTGGCCCTCCAAGTCCTTTGTGGAAGTGCCTTGGGTAGAATTCCAATTCTGCCACTTAGCTGAAGCCACAATGTCTCTAATCATTCATATCTTTACTTGTCTATCCTACATCAGGGATGTTTATTTGCTGTGTTCATAGATAATTTCTATGTTCTCAAGTGTTTTCTCAGCATTAGTGTTTTCCATCATTTTTCCAGCACCGCATAGATTTTCTTCAGCTTATGATGGATTCTCAGACTTCTAACAATTCAGAGACACATTCTCAAAAAGGTAAGTTGAGCATGAGGATAGCCACAAATTGGAATCTTGAGGACATTATCTGTGGAAGCATGAAACCATTTCCAATTTGCTCAGATGATATACCCAATCGCAATAACAATGACAACAATGATGATGTTACAGGGTTTTAATATTTGCAGAGCACTTTGCATAAATTACTTCATTTGATCTTCATAATAATGCTGTGTGCTTGGTGTCATTCTTATTTCTATTTTAGAAATGGGGAATGTAAAGCTGAGAGAGTTTAAGCAACTTCTACAGTATCAGAGCTAGTAAAACTTTGAAGTAGGTTTGAACTCAGATCTGACTTCTCTCTAAGTCCAACAGTCTGTGGTATAACCTAGCCACATCAGAAAGATGTTTGGCATCTGTAGTATGAGCTAGATGGAGCCAATTTTCAAAAGTGTGTTTGAATTTGTGATGGTCAAGTTAGTAAGCATGGATGGTGACGCTAAAGTCCCTATTTCATCTATACCTAGGACAACAATGAAGCATAGGGAAATGGGAAAAATGCAGTTTTTTTTTCAAGAAAGAAAATAATTTATCTTATTCTAACTGTGCTTTTAAACACCTGAGGGATCCTACATGCATCACTTCACTTGTCTGGACTTGCATGTCATAGGTAAAAGAAATGTGTTGGTCCAGATGATCATTCAATTATCTTCTAGCTCTAAATCCTATAATTTTACTACATTCCCTGGCCTAGAGCATTTTTATTTGTGCTTAGCTAGCTGGACAGCTCTTTGGCACACAGGATAGGGGGCCAGGCCTGGAGTCAGGAAGATTCACTTTCCTGAGTTCAAATCTGGCCTCAGACACTAAGTTGCATGACCCTGGGTCAGTCATTTAATATGCTTTGCATCAGTTTCCTCATCTGTCAAATGAAGTAGAGGAGGAAATGGAAAAATCACTCTGATGTCTCTGTCAAGAAAAACCCAGCTAGTGTTCACACAGCTATACAGGAAGAAAAAAGAGACTGATCTGAAGATACAAGTTTCTCTTGCAATATAAAATAGTGCTTATAAAATGAACACTATTCTCATTTAACCATAAGTAGGATATAGACTCTCCTATGCTGAGCATTCTTACTAGAATTCAGCCAGATGGAGGCAACATTATTAAGTGAAGGGGGAGCTGGAGTTGGGAGTCATAAAGCCAGATTCTAGTCTCAGCTTCAGCCAGTTACTAAATCAGTGACTTTGGAACAATTATCTTATTGCTCTGAACTTCAACTGCCTTATCTGAAGAATGGAGAGAAGCATTCTTGCACTAGCAATTTCACAGGCTAGTTATGGTGGTCAGATGAAATGATGTATAAACATAATCCACAAAACCTAGGCACTATGTATAGCAATGTAACCAATGTTTATTGTTACCTTTTGGATACCTTCCCTTCATGGAGTTCATCAGAGACAGGAAATGGTGGGAAGAGTGTGGTCTCTGAAGTCTGAGAACCTAGGTATAAATCTAAGTCTCTCACCTATGAGACTTTGGGAAAGTCATTTAACCTCTTCGTGCCTCAGATTACCAATTACATGGCTATTGGGGTCCCTTCCAGCTCTAAATCTGTGATCTCCTTCGAACATTTCTCCTCCATATTTGCTTCACTCCATACTCCACCACCCTACCACAGCCACTTATCTCCTCTCCTCTGGATTATTACTAGAGCCTTTTAGTGTATCTGTCCTGTGACACTGTATTAGAAAGAAGAGAGAATTCCCTGAAATGAAATCTCACTTTTATCACACCCAGAAGTAACAAATGAGGATGAGATAGGTGTGTGGAAAGAACAGAACAAATATAGGAGAAATTTGTTTGAGCAATCCCAGTTAGACTTAATCTCTTTCCTGCCTTGTAATGATAGATTTTGGTGGAAAGCTCTTGTCATGTCATTGAATGCATTTCAGATCTTTTTTTAGGTATTCTGGGCAGTCAGGTAGGTAGACTTCTTTCCTAACTTCTTGTGATATGACTGAATGATGTATCAATGGTATGATGACTTTGTCTGAATATTTCCCTTGCCTTATTTCAGATCTGAGTGATGAGGAAATCCTGGCCCAATCTATTATCTTTCTTTTTGCTGGCTATGAAACCACCAGCTCTGTCCTTTCCTTTCTCTTTTACCACCTGGCCACTAACCCTGAGGTCCAGCAGAAACTTCAGAAGGAGATAGATGCAGTTTTGCCTAACAAGGTGAGAGGATGAGAGGAATAGAGCTGCTACTGAGGTTCAAGAGTTTTGTCACAGGTTCAAAAGGGCTAATTTTATGAAAATATTTATACAAATTTCATTTTGACAGAGCTCAGAAGTGTTAATCACTTCATTAGCATATTGACAACTGCAGTGACTCCCAACATTCCATAAATTCAATAGTAAATGTATTTTTATAGCTTTCCTCCAGGAGGTATTACTGTAACATCTGGTGACCAGATGTACAGTGAAGCTGGCATAGACTCATTCTAAGACCGAGTAAAGATGTGAAAGCCACCTTAGTACTAAGAACTTAGTACTTACAACTATTTGTTCTCTTTGCAGGAAGCAGTCACGTATGATGCCCTGGTACAGATGGAGTATCTAGACATGGTGATAAGTGAAACTCTCCGTCTATTTCCCATAGCTGGCAGGATTGAAAGGGTTGCTAAGAAAACTGTTGAGCTCAATGGACTGAGGATTCCTAAAGGCACAGTGGTGATGGCCTCAGCCTTTGTCCTGCATCGTGACCCACAATATTGGTCAGAGCCAGAGGAGTTCCGTCCTGAAAGGTAAACACATTGTTTTAAACAAGGGAAAAGGTTATTCAATGTGTTTGTTTATTTGAGACAGTTTAGAGAGAACATTGAGTTGGGAGACTTCTAGTTGTAGAAGTTTTTAAGCCCTTAGTAGATAGTAAATTTTTTAGGGCATATCAAATAGAAGACATGGTGCTACATTCAGAGTCAGGAAGACCTGAATTCAAAGTCCATCTCTGATACCACTTAGTTATATGGCTAGGACACTAATGATCTCATTCCACACAGTGACTTTCAAACATTTTATTCCTTCCTCAAACCTCCCACTGCTCCTCCTCTTTCCACACTCTCAGCTGAGATCATTCCCTCATATTTTACCAGAAAAAAATGAGGCTGTTCACAGTGAACTCCTTCTTTTCCCCTCTCCTTCATCTCTCATCACTATGATGCCTTCTGCTACTAGCCTGTATCACATAATGAAATAACCTTATTCCTTACCAAGGCTAATTCCTTTACTTGTCCAAGTGAGTCCATCTCTTCTAAGAGATTGCCACATCTGTCATCAATGCTCTTACACTTACTTCCAATCTGTCCCTGTCTATTGACTAATTTCCTACTGCTTACAAAAATGCCCATGAGTTTTCTGTCCTGAAAACCCCCCAACTTGATCTTTCTCTCCCTGTTATTGTTCTATATCTTTTCTGTCCTTTATAGCCAGCCTTCTGAAAAAGTTTACAATACAATAAAAAGGCTCACAGCAGACCACTGCTGGAGTCAGGAGGGCCTCAGTTCATATCAGGCCTCAGGCACTTGACATTTACAAGCTGCGTGACCCTTGGCAATTCACTTAACCCCATTGCCTTCCCCCCAAAATCCAAACAAACAAATAAAATTTTGGAGGCAGCTAGGTGGTGCAGTGGTAGAGCACCAGCCCTAGAGTCAGGAGGACCTGAGTTCAAATCCAGCCTCAGACACATGATAATCACTAGCTGTGTGACTTTGGGCAAGTCATTTAACCCTGATTGCCTGGTAAAAGAAAAATAAATAAATAAGGTTCAAACTACAATAGGTGTTACCACTTTCTCTCCATTTACTCTCTTCTTCTTCGCCTTTGGATTTTAAAGAATTATTTAAAGTCTTTTCTTGTTGTTTTGATGTTCAGTTCACTCTTCATCACCTCTTTAGGGGTGTTGTTGGCAGAGATACTGGAGTGATTTGCCATTTACTCCCCCAACTCATTTTACAGATGAGGAAACAGAGGCAAACATGGTTAAATGACTTGCCCAAGGTCACACAGCTTATAAGTTTCTGAGGTCAAATTTGAATTAAGGTCTTTCTGACTCCAGGACTGGCTCTCTATCTATTCTGTCACCCAACAGCCCAAAAAATCTTTAGTCTAAGTGAAATAATATTGCAAAATGAGATCACCAGTCTCATTCCTTTGATTTCTTAGGAAGTTAAGGTTTAGCATCTCCACAATGTAAATAAAATTGATACTAGAACAGATTTTTGAGAGTCTGTTGAAATTTCTGCCTTTCAAGCCTCATTTCAGATTTTTAAAAATGACAAATAACAAATATGGCATAATGATAAGAAGGAATTGTTCTGAAGATATACAAGTAGTGCTTTAGATACTGAGACTGTCTTAAGGCAGATCTCTTGATATTTACATTTTCTGTCTCCTTTTTATTTTTAATGTTGATTTTTAAAATTTAGTATTTTATTTTTCCTCAGTTACATGTAACAACAATTTTTAACATTTATGTTTAAACTTTGAGTTCCAAATTCTCTCCCTTTCTCTCTCCCCACCCCCGCATTGAGAAGGTAAGCAATTAGATATAGATTATACATGTGTGTAGTCACGCAAAACACATCCACAATAGTCACGTTCTGAAAGAAAACATAGACAAAAAAAACCCATGAGAACAACAAAGTAAAATTTTTAAAATGTATGATTCAGTCTGTATTCAGATATCATTAGTTCTTGTTCTGTGAGGGATAGCATTTTTCATCATAAATTCTTCAGAGTTATCTTGGATCAGAGTATTGCTGAGAATACCGAAGTCATTTACAGCTGATCACCTTACAATATTGCTGTTACTTTGTACACTTTGTACATTTCACTCTGCATTAGTCCATGTGAGTCTTTCCAGGTTTTTCTGAGAGCATCCTGCTCATCATTTCTTATAATACAATAGTGTTCCATTATAATTGCATGCTACAATGCCCAACTGATGGGCATTCCCTCAATTTCTAATTCTTTATCCCCATAAAAGGGTTGTTGCAAATATTTTTGTACATATACGTCCTTTTTTTGGTTTTGTTTTTTATCTCTTTTGGGATACATACCTAGTAGTGGTATTGCTAGTTCAAAAGGTATTCATGGTTTTATAGCCCTTTGGGCATAGTTTCAAATTTTGCTACAGAATAGTTGAATGAGTTCACAACCCTACCAACAGTGCACTAATGTCCCATTTTTCCAAAATCCCCTCCAACATTTGTCATTTATCTTTTCTGTCCTATTAAAGCAATCTAATAGGCATGAAGTAGTACCTCAGAATTGTTTTAATTTGCATTTCTCCAATTAATAGTGTTAGAATATTTTCCATATGGTTGTAAATTGCTTTGATTACTTCATCTGAAAACTGATCATATCTGTTGATCATTTAGCAATTGAGGAATTTTTATGAATTTGACTCAGTTCTCTCTATGTTTGAGAAATGAAGTCTTTATCAAAAAAGCTTGCATCAATTGTTTTTCACAGATATTATTACTAACTATATTTCCTTTCATCCTATTCCCCTACCCCATTTTATTCTATTCTCTCTCTCCTTTCACTCTGTCCCTCCTCAACAGTGGTTTGCTTCTGACCACCTCCTACCCCATTCTACCCTCCTTTCTATCACCCCCCTCTTCTCTTATCCCATCCCCCACCGCTTTGCTGTAGGGTAAGATATGTTTCTTTGTTGTTTTGTTTTGTTTTGTTTTTGGTTAGGAAATGGGGTTAAGTGGCTTGCCCAGGGTCACACAGCTAGTAAGTGTTATGTGTCTGAGGCTGGATTTGAACTCAGGTCCTCCTGAATCCAGGGCTGGTGCTGTATCCACTGTGCCACCCAGCTGCCCCAAAGATATATTTCAATACCTAATTGTATGCATATGTTATTCCTTCTTTGAGTCAATTCTGATGAGAGTAAGGTTCACTCACTCCCCCTCAGCTCCTCCTTCTTCCCCTCCACTGCTGTAAAAGCTTTTTCTTGCCTCTTCTATGTGAGATAATTTACCCCATTCCACTTCTCCCTTTCTCCTTCTCCCAGTACATTCCTCTCACCCCTTAATTTTATTTTTCAGATATCATCTCTTCATATTCAACTCACAGCCATGCCCTCTGTCTATATATACTCCTAAATACCCTCATAATAAGAAAGTTCTTATGACTTCAAAATATTCCCATGTAGGAATGTAAAGAGTTTAACCTTATTAAGTCCCTTATGATTTCCTTTTCCTATTTATCTTTTTATGCTTCTCTTGAGTCTTGTATTTGAAAATCAAACTTTCTATTCAGTTCTGGTCTTTTCATCAAAAATTCTTGAAAGTCCTATATCTCATTAAATGTTCAATTTGTCCCCCAAAGGATTGTACTCAGTTTTGCTAGGTAGGTAACTCTTGGTCACAATCCTAGCTCCTTTGCCCTCTGGAATATCATATTCCAAACCCTCTGATCTTTTAATGTAGAAGCTGCTAAATCTTGTGTTATCCTGACTGTGGTTCCACAGTAATTGAATTGTTTCTTTCTGGCTGCTTGCAATATTTTCTCCTTTATCTGATAACTCTGGAATTTGGCTATAATATTCCTGAGAGTTTTCATTTTGGGATTGCTTTCAGGAGGTGATCAGTGGATTCTTTCAATTTCTATTTTACCCTCTTGTTCTAGAATATCAGTGCAATTTTACTTGATAATTTCTTGAAAGATGATGTCTAGGCTCTTTAAAATTTTTTAAAATTTATTTATTTAATTTTAATTTTCAGCATTCTCTTCCATAAGCTTTAGAGTTTTAAATTTTCTCTTTCTCCCTCCCCTCTCTCCACTTAAAGACAGCAGACAATCTGATATAGAAAAGCTCTTTTTTTGATCAAGGCTGTCAGGTAGTCCAATAATTTTTAAATTATCTCTTCTGGATCTATTTTCCATATCAGCTGTTTTTACAATGAGATATTTCATATTGTCTTCAAATTTTTTTATTCTTTGGCTTTGTTTTATTGCTTCTTGTTTTCTCATAAAGTCATTAGCTTCCATTTGCTCCATTCTAATGTTTAAGGAATTATGTTCTTCAGTGATATTTTGAACCTCCTTTTCCATTTGGCCAATTTTGCTTTTCAAAACATTCTTCTCCTCATTGGCTCTTTGGAACTCTTTTGCCACTTGGCCCAGTCTGTTTTTTAAGGTGTTATTTTCTGCACTTTTTTTTTTGAGTCTCCTTCACCAAGCTGTTGACTCTTTTCTCATGATTTTCTTGCATTACTTTCATTTCTCTTCCCAATTTTTCCTCTACCTCTCTTACTTGATTTTCAAAATCATTTTTGAGCTCTTCCATGGACTGAGACCAATTCATATTTTTCTTGGAGACTTTGGATGTAGGAGCTTTGACTTTGTTATCTTTTTCTCAGTGTGTCTTTTGATCTTCCTTATCATCATAATAACTTTCTAGTCAGAGTTTTTTTCTCATTGTTGCTCATTTCCCCAGCCCATTAGTTGACTTTTAACTCTTTGTTAAAGTAGGCCTTTGCTTGCAGGGTGGAGGATACACCGTCCCAAGTTTTAGGGGTTTTGTGCAGCTGTTTTCAGAGAGACTTCTAGAGATCTCTGTAAGTTTTCAGTTCTTCCAAGGTGGTATGATCTATGGAGAGGTGTTTACTCCTCTCCTGGCCTCTGCTCTGATCTGTGAGTGACCACAAGCACTCTTTTCTGCCCTGGAACCATGAGGAGAGTTCCCTCTATACAGCTACCACGAGCTTTGCTATGCTAGTGTTCTTCC